GAAGGGAAATTTGACATTTATTCCTCCTTTTTTTTTTACATTTATTCCTAATACAAGAGTATTGCTTGCCTATTCATGATGATGTTGTTAGATTGAGTTCTATTGTCTACCTTGTCCGTGTTCCTTTTTCATTGTATTGCTACTTGACATTGTTTTGACATTGTTTTCCCCCTTCCTAAAGTAACAGAAATTAACTGGGGAAGAAAAGAAAATACAAAAGTTGTAATATTTTTATAAATCAAAGGATCTAATTTTTTCCCCTGAGCATCTCTTTAGAGTACCTCCCAAGATCTACATTTCTATGACCCCCAAATAAAGCTTTTAATTCTGAATTTATCTAGATAGAAGACACTGAGAGTTCTACATATCATTCACCCTGGAAAATTAGTTCCACTGATCAAATTAATCTTTCAGAGGAAGAAAAACATTACCCTCAAAGATAATTCAGAGGAATTATTGGCATAATATTGTTACATTTTCGCCAGAACAGGTCATGGCTTCCGGGAGGAAAGCTGTGAGCTAAAAGCCATATGTAAACTCTAATAAATACCACAAACTGAGGAGCCCTCCTAGGGACAGAGACTAAAGTAAAAAGGACTTTGAGGTAGAATGATTCCTTCACCAATTCTCTAAATCTATTCTAGAAACAGGTAATTTTTTTAAGGAAAGTTAAAATAAAGCTATCTTAGGAAGTATAGCTGAAAGTTTAAAATTGGAATCATTTTTTACTTGCCAAATCTAAGACAGATAGACCCAACTAAACTGATACATTTCCCTTCAATGAAAGTCTTTAAAAGAATTTCCCATGCCACATGTTTACCATTGCTTGCTTGCTTATTTATTTATTTATTTATTTATTTATTTGGTACAGGGTCTCACTACATAGCTCAGACTTGTAGTGATCCTCCTTTCTCAGCCTCCCCAGTGCTAGGATTACAGGCATGCGCCACCATACCCAGTTTCGGTGACTGGTAAGGCGCACCCTGCGTTCCAGGGCCCGCAGGGCGTGTGGTACCAGGGATTGAACCCAGGTTCTTGTGCTTGCCAGGCTGGCACTTAGATTGTCAGGCTATCTCCCCAGCCCCACCTTAATTATTAAGAGCACTAAGGAACAGCTAAGTATGTATGACAGGGTTCTTAGGACAGAGGCAAATGGTTATTCCACCCTACTGATGTAAGATATTATTTCTTTTACTCTGAACCTAACTAAAAATGCCAGAATCTATCCTCTATACCTTTGAAATCTTTCTGCTGTCTTCAGATCACAGTCCACCCCCTTCATCTGACATAGAAGACCCTCTGTCATCTGATCCATAACCCCACTTTTTGGGCACTCATTCCTTGGGCCCCTTATTTTTCATCATGGGGTCCACCAATAGTTACTACCTCATTGCCTGGAGACCTCTTGTCTCTGTACCTTTCTTGCTTTTTTGCCTAAGATGTCACACAGCCCCTCCTTTTCACAATTTAATCTTTAAACTCTGGTATCACCCTTTGTAGAAAGAATGACTTCATACCTTTCCTTGCTGCCTCAGGCTGGATTATGTATCTGTCCTTTACATTTCTATAATCTATTAAAACTCAACATATCTCCCATCTGGATAATCTGTCTCTGGGTGATTTTCCCTTACAGACTTTTTAAGGTAGGGGTGAGTCTCATCTGTTTATCCTCAGTACTCAGCTCAGGATCTGGCATGTGCAAATGTGTGTTAAGTAAGTGCTTCATTACACTTACCTTTATTTCCTCTATGTCTGCTTTCTGAAGCTTTTCTCTGAAATGTTTATCTGTTTCCAGAACATCAATAACTTGCTTGAGATATTCATCATAATAAAGTCCAGTATCCTTCAAATTAAGAAATAGTAATATTTCTGAAATTTTTCCTTGTCTGAGTATAAAACAGCATCTACCAAAGTGACATGAAGCCATACCTACTTTGTTTTTGATAGTCCAGATCAAAAACCTGTATTTCTTAAAGAGTTTTCTGTCAGAGCCAATATCATCTTTTATTGTAATGCAAAGGTATATTTCCTATATGGCTTAGAGTTTCTACATGGCCAACCTGTGGCCCACCTTCTTATTTTATTGTCCTGGCTTGCATATAAAATATATAATATAGTTCATGCATATGAGCAGCAAAACTTCCTTTAGCTTTAATTTTTTATTATACTTTTTTATTTTAAAGAGAAAAAGATATTATAACATTTAAAGGGCTTGTTTTTATTTTTTAATTTATTTTTATGTATTTAGTAGAGGTTCTACCAGGTCTCACTATATAGATCAGACTTGGACTTGTAGTGATCCTCCTGTTTTCAGCCTCAGGCCCACACCACCACGCCCAGTCTCATTTACCATCTCAGCACATCCTCAGAGAGTGGGGCCAGCATGGCATGCCAGGGATTGAACCCTAAGCAGGCACTTTAATCTGCTGAGCTATCTGGCCAGCCCTCTATAACACTGAAAAAAGGACAAAAGAAAATTATGGACTGCAGAGTGAATACAGCTAGTAGACAACAACCAGTAATAATTGGTTTTTATCCACGCTTAAATGTGTCATCTTTGAATATAACACTGTTTCTTTGGCTCTCTACAATGAAAGTGTTTTATGATTAATTTTTCTATGTACTAATTATACTTAACAAGCATTAGTTAATATTAAACAATACATTAGTGCTGGGGAGATAGCTCAGTGGTATAAGTGCCTGCTTGGCAAGCACAAGATTCCAAGCTCAATCCCCGGTACTACAAAAAACAAAAACAAAAACAAACATATCATTCTCCAGTACTGTCTTCATTTCTGTTTCAGAATCATTCCTTAAATGCCCAGCTTTATAAGTAACAAATACTAGCAATATTTTATTTATAATTCTTAACATTTCACTCTATTTGTTATAATTCATTTTATTTAATTATAATTCCTGCCACTCTACTTACTGGTGGTTCTATCTTTGCACTTTCCACAGGTTCGGTGTTTTGTACTTTTGTCTTGTCGATGTCTATAGGCACTGCCTGAACAGCAGCAAGTAGACACGTGACCAAGAGAAAACCATACCATAGTAGAATGGTCCTCCACCTCATCTGAAATAAAGGAGTGGTTAAAGTCCTGAAAAAGATGCATTTCCAATGGTGCATTAATAATATATTCAATTTCAAGAGGTTTAATACAATAAACAATTCTAGGAAAGGGGTATAAATTGTAATTTACTAAAAATTATACTTACATTAGTAAAGAAAATCAGGGAAAAATGTTTTTCAACCAAAATTACAAAGACAGGACACAATTTTATTTTTTTTTTTTTTTTTTGTAACCAGGGATGGAACTCAGGCCCTTGCGCTTACCAGGCAAGTGCTTCTTCTACTGAGCCATCTCCTCAGCCCCTTGGATACAAAATTTTAAAGTCCAAACGACTTATAGAAAAACCATCTGAAGCCAAGTGTGGGGGTACACATCAGTAATTCTCACCACTCAGGAGACTGAGGCTACAGGACCATAAATTAGAGGCTAGTCTGGGCAATTTAGAGATACCCTGTCTCAAAAATCTGGAAAAATGGGGGGTAGAGTGGAAAAATAGCTAAATGTTACAGAATTTGCCCAACATGCACAAGGCCCTGGGTTTAATCCCTATTTAAATTACCTTATTGTGGCAAATAGTTATTTGTTAAAGATTTTTTGTTTTCTTTAAGTATTTGGTAGAGGGTCTCACTATACACCTTAGACTCATAGTGATCCTCCTGTTTTCAGCCTCCCCAGCTCTGCGATTATAGGGATGCACCACCATGCCCAGACTCAGAGTTAAAGATCTTTATGATTAATAAATTTTTCAGTAAGTAAAACAATAAAGTATCAAGCAGATTGTAAGGTAGTTGGAAAAAAAAAAAAAGAGCAATGGCAACTGCTGCTCTCACAATATTCTTCAAATTTCACTTATTCAGTTTCCCTTTAATAAGAATCTACGTAGATCCAGAAGGTCTACTACAAGAAAGCCAGGCACAGTGGTGCACACCTGTAATCCCAGCACTCTGGGTAGCTGAACCAAGAGAATCATTACTTTGAGCTTAGAGATTTAGTGACTTAGCAAGACCCTGTCTCAAAATGAAAAATAACCCAGGCACATGGTGGCTCATCCCTATAATCCCTGCACTCTAGAGGCTGAGGCAGGAGGAGGATCACTGTGAACCAAAACCAGCCTGGGCTACACAGTGCGTTCAAGGCTAGCTTGCACTACATAGTAAGACTCTCTCAAAAAAAAAAAAAAAACAAAAAGGAAAAAAAGACAAAGACAAATGTGCTGGGGAAATTGTAGCTTAATGCAAAGGCCCTGAATTCAATACAGTACCAGAAAAAAAATAAATAAATAAGAAGGACTAGCTGGGCAGGGTGGCACATGGCTGCAATCCCAGTACTCAGCAGGCTGAAGCAGAAGGATCACTGCAAGTTCGAGTCCAGCCTGAGCTACATAACTAAGTTCAAGGCCAGCCTGTATTCCTAGTGAGACCATGTCCAAAAGAAGGGGAAAAAAAAGGAAAACATACCTCACATGTGATTGACTTAATATATATAGACTTAACAATAGGGTTCAAGTCAAGGGATACAGTTCAGTGGTGGCGAGTGCCTAGCATGTGTGAGGCACCCCGCACACACACACAGAGGAGAAGAAAGGAGTTGAAGGCGAAGAATGGCTGGACCATACACACAGGATAGGCATTATTTAACTTACAATCTCCCAAACTTAACTAGCTTTGGGCTTTGTTTTGTTGTTGCTGTTATTGTTGTTATTGGTGTCATTGTTTTGTTTTGGTTCCTTCTTTTAGGTAACATGCTTTTACCCACAGATCACACTTTGGAAAAGATTACATAACTTCATTTCATCTTGATGTACACCTTGTACACCTTGATAGTATACAGGCTACTGGTTCATTTTACAAAAGAAGAAAAATTTAAACTGATTCCCTTATGAAACGTTGGTCAATAACAAAACCACTAAAGTGTCACATTTTTGTGCATTTTTTTAATTTTTAGAAATCTTTTATTTATTTATGTACTTGGTACAGGGTCTCGCTATGCAGCTTAGACTTGTAGTGATCCTCCTGTCTCAGCCTCCCCAGCACTGGGATTACAGGCGTGCACCACCATGCCTGGTTGCAGTTTTTCGCATGTTGGCACAGCATGCAGTACTGGGGAGGGAACCTGGGTCCTTGTCCTTGCCAGGCAGGCACTTTGGCCTTTTAGGTTTTCCCCCCCCCCCTTTTTTGCATTTTTTTTATCAATATTTTAAGTAATTTTTATTGAGATATATACTTCACATGCCATAAAATGCACCCATTTAAGGCTTGCCTGAAGTATAAGGATGCTTCTCAAAGTTTAGCCCCCCAACTCGCTGGATCAGATCACCTGAAATTTGGTCAGAAATGTCAATTCTCAAGTGAACCCACACAATCTGGGATGAAGCTCAGGAATCTGCTTCAACAAACCTTCCCGGTGATTCCCTGTATATGGAAGCTGACAGGGCACTAGCTCCTCCACCACAATTGCTGTGAGTTTATCTTCATCATTTATTTTAGTCTGAGATATGTTGGCTAAATGATGCCAAATAGATTTCATTTTTGCAAGCCTTTCAGAACTCATTTTCTTTTTCTTTCAGAACTTGTGATGGGCTACTGTGCACCATGAATCATCTCTTAATAGGATGACTTAGCTCTCCAGAAAATGTCTTCCCACTACGAATCTATTTTCTTCCCACAATCATTTTTTTAAAAAAACAAAGGTTTAGTGCCAGCAAGATAGCTCAGCAGGCTAAGCATCCACTTAGGCAAGCACAGGGACCAGGGTTCGATCCCTGGCACCACATGCCACACCAGTCCTGCCCCTGGATGCCCTGAGCCAGCCACCAAGATGGGCATGGTGGTGCACACCTGTAATTCCAGAGCTGAGGAGGCTGAAATCAGGCTGATCACTACGAGTCCGAGCTTCACAGTGAGACCCTGTGCCAAATACATTTTTTTTTAAAAGGCTTATTTCTCATTCATGCTGAGGCCCACACATGTAGTCATTTTGGTTTTGTTGAGATATAACTCATATGCTATGAAATCTACCCTTTACAGTGGCATAATTCAGTATCTCTTTTTCAGTACATTCACAAGGCTGTGCACCATCACCACTATCTCATTTCATAACATTTCATCGTTCGGGAAAACAATGCCATACTCATTAGCGGTCTCTTCCTCTCCCTTTCCTCCCCTGGACCCCAGTAGCTACTAACCTACTTTCTGTCTGTCTGATTGCTTCTACTGGAAATCCTCTACAAATGGAACCACACCTTATGTGGTCTTTTGTGTCTGTCTTTTTTTCCCACTGAGTAGTATATTTTTGTGGTTCAACCATGTTGCAACCTATATTAGCACTTCATTGCTTTTTATAGCTAAATATATAGCCCATTGTATAGATATATAGATACTTCATACTTACTTTTTTAGTTCATGGACATTTAGATCATTTCTACTTTGGGGCTATTTTAAATAACACTGTTGAGAACATTTGTGTTCAAGCTGTTATGTTAACATGTTTTCAGTTCTTTTGATCATACACCTTCAAGAATAGAATTGCTGGGTCAATTTGGTGAACTCTGTGTTTAACTTTTTGAGGAATTGTCATACTGTTTTCTAAAGCACCTGTATGCCATTTTACATTCCCACCAGTAATATATACCCTGAGTACTGAAATATACAGTTAAGGACTAAAGTTTTGTGGGGGTTTTTGGGTATTATTTTGTTTTGTTTTGTTGTCTTTTTTTGAGACAGTGTCTCGCTATGCAGTTCAGGCTGGCCTTGAGTTCGCTGTGTACTAGGCTGGTCCCGAACTCCCAAAGATCCTCCTGCCTCAGCCTCCCCAGTGCTAAGATTACAGGCATTTGCCACCACACCTGGCTCCTTAAAAAGTTTGTTTCGTTTTGTCTTGTTTTTTAATGGTTACAATGAAACATTGCCCTTAATTCCTCTCAAAACCCTCCCCCTCACTTCAACCACACATACTGTTCTTGCCACTTGGTGATGCAGCTCTGGAAGTAAGTTCTCCTTTTTCATAAGGTGTGATCAAAAATACTGTGACTGCTGCTGCTGAGGGCCACCCAATGGAAAAGTGGACTCATAAAAACATTACACTGCATCCTCATCTTTCCAAAGTCAAAATGACCACCAAAAAAGGTGCTTGAATCCATTTAGGACATGCCAACAGCACAACTAAAGGCACTAAGAGGACTTCAGAACTGCTTTAGAAGGCAGCACGAACGATGGCGTAAGTGTATTCAGAGTGAGGGAGAGTGTTCTGAGGAGCATTAATGGCAGCATGTCTTTTATTGCAACTTTTTTTTTCAAATTTAAACATTCTCCATATTTTTCAGTTGCACCTTATATGAAATTTCTAACTTCTTCAGGTCTTTGATGTGTCATTGTCACTTTAGCACTCCCTTTGCCTTTCATTCCTTTGCCAAGTCTACCATAAACAGAAGATAAGCGAGAAATGTGTGTGTACATGTGCCCGTGTGCATATATGCACACGAATTTGTCCTAATGGTTCCAAGTGACACAATCACCAAAAGTCTCTACTGTAAAACACCGAGTGAATTTATGGCTCATAAACATGTGATCCTTAGGCTTATTATAAGTAATAGTAGGAAACATCTATTGAGTGTTTCCATGTACCAGACAACATACAAAGCATTTTGATTGAACTCACTTAAGTCGACAACTCTGTACAGTGTTACTTTCCCCATTTTAAAGTACAGCAGATGGAGACCTAGTGCGTGCTCTGCATCGCATAGCTGGTGAGTCCTGCGGCCAAGGTGCAGACGCAGAGCGGCCACATGCCAGAGTCTAGGTCTGCTTTTAAGTAGTGGTTCTCCAGTGTGACTCCTGAGCTGAAGCACCAGCATCTCTGGGGAGTTTGCTAGGAATGCAGATTCTGGGGGAACTACTCGCTTGGGCCCCCCCTCCTGTCCCTCTCTTGGACAGGAGCTTTCTTTCTCTCAATAAATATATTTTGCTAAAAAAAAAAAAAAAAAAAAGGAATGCAGATTCTCATG